ATATGCATATAACACGTCACTTCTATCTCTTATCGTCATATAAAATACGTTTGGCGCCGGTTTTTCATTTCATTTTTTCTGCTCATCTCTTCTTTCTGTTGCATACCACCCCGGATTCATTCACGCGTCAGTTGTCATCGCCTGCTGGTAAACAACTATAATAACAATAACAATAGTCATAAATAAAGTAAAAGCTACCGCAACAACAACAGTAAACGGAATGTTATATATATCAACGAAGAAAAATATAGAGCGTGTCCAGTGACTGGATTTTTATTTATGAGATTTTATATGAATTTATGCAAATACGAATGTACATTTATGCGAGTATGTAGACTTAAGTATATAAATAGATATGTACACATATATGATACATAAATATATTTAAACTCTCCACCTACGATAAAGATTAAATTTAAACGAATTTTTTTCCTACCCCACCAGTATTTATGGAATAATTCAAAGGTCAAAGTGGTTATTACCTTTTAAATATAAAATTAAATATAAATATTTATAAAGCATAATTTTTTTATATACACATGCATTTATGAATAAACTACGCAAATACATGTGTGCATATATTTATATATATATGTATATATTGCATCTATCACCGACATGTGCTACATAAAGCAAGGCATTTGACAAATGATTTATGATGCGTGATTGACATTCGCCAGTTGTTTGATTGCTGTGGCGACCAGAGTGACAGAAAAAGTCGAGGCGAACAAAGCTAACATCATCATAAGTGTAACGACTGGACTCATATTTTAGGCGTTCATGTAGTCATACGGGGTCAATGTGTAAACTTGCGCACAAAAACCTTGTAATTTATGGCAAATTTTATAACATAAAAAATCAAAAAATTGAAAAAATACGTAAGTTAATTTTTACAAAAAAGCCACTTTTTTATTCAGTTTTTATAATTATTTTTACATATTTTTTGAATAATATTAAACATATAACTTGTATTCCGGATGAGTAGTGAGTAGACTATTTAATTCCATATGTGTATATCTTTTCGCTCGCCTTGGCATGCGATAATAAGTTTTTTTGTACTTTTTTGGGAATAAATAATATATTATATTAAAATAATCGCCAAACTTAAAAATATTATTTGTGTGGGATTCAGTTTATATAATTGGCGTTTTGTAATTGCTGAAGCAATTTTCAGCCGAACTCCTCTTTCAATTTTTTGTCTTCCGTCTTGATGTTTTTCCAACAAATGGACGGGCCAAACGGCTGATGATTTTTTATGAGGGTTAGACGTCTCCGTGGTCCAAGACTGGATCGTCTGTAGCACTACATTTTGCCACAAGAAAAATCATTAAGTTACATAACCGCTAAGTTTTAAACAAGCATCTCGCAACCAAAACGATTATTTTATGAATGTATATTAGATGACTTACAAACTACTTCAAGACCAAACACACTCATAATGGAATCATGAATTCATGTGAATATTGCAATGAAAATACAACCAACGGCAACGGCTTTGATGAACACGCTGACCCAATCGATGACGAAAATACTGATACTGAGATACTGTTACCCGACTCTGAAGATGCTCGTATAGCGCTTACTCACTTCTGTAGTAGTTACAGACTACTAAACTAGACTATATAAGACTAGCGATAATATCTACATATGCCTTTTTGCCTACCGCGAAGCCGGGTAACCGTATCAATAGTCGCCTTTCTACTGATTTTCCATATTTGTATTTTGTGTACTCACTTAAAAACTTTCTCTCCTGATTAGAGGCCGTGAAAAGTTGATTTTAAAATTTTTATTAAATTGTAAAAATGTTTTTTTTTAATTTTAAATTTTTTTCAAAAGCTGCTGGATAAGTTTTAACATTAAAGAAATAGTACCAATCGCTTGTATATACATATCGGCATACAAAAGTGTTTAAGGAATCCTTTATAGAATTCATCAGCATGCATTAACAGTTTATCGCTTTCCTTTTTTCATCCTTTATCCATTATTCATATTTAAATAAAGCTTTATTGTTATTTATTGTGATTGCTCTACAACTCATATTGTATGCTTTTGTGCGCAGTGAAGCTGCAAATTTATTTTATAAATGAAAGCAATCATCGTCAATGCATATTTAATAAATTATTAAGGACTCAAATATACTCGTATACATACATATGTATGTGTACACTTATGAACGAGTATTTGTGAATGTGTGCGTGTATGTAGTTCTGTAAGTAAATAAATACATATATGTAGTTTGAATATATATATTTGTAAGAGTTTCAATACAAACCCACATATATGTGTAACGCTATGCATGAGTAATCATGAATAAAATAACAAATATTCATCAATACAAATCACCGTTAAGTTAGCAAAACAATGAATGCCGACATTTTATACTTCAAGTTGACTTGTTTTGACAACCATTGCATGATAAGCATATCGTCTGCCCAACCAAAAATACACACAATGAGATATTAGAACAAAAGAAAAACTTAACACTTCGATAACGAAATATTTAACACAAGTGTGGCATAAGATCTCCAGTGCATAAAATTATAATACTCATTATTCATAATTCAATTCAACAGAAATGGGAATAATTTGTAACTGTCATGCCCTGCATGAGGTATATAGGTATATAAATATGTCAAAGAGCAATATTCGTATGTATACATTATATTTACATACTAAAGTATCTATAAATTAGGATACTTGTTACCTGCTCCCAATTCGATTAACATATTTTGTAGTGTATTCCTAGTTATTTACATAAAATACAAGGTGTGCTCATAAAATAATGTGAACTTTAATTTTATGTACAAAATATTTATGCATCCCTCCACATCAAGGCTACATCGTAATTGTAACGATAAATTTCATGTAATGTGCCAAAAAAGTGAATTGATTCGATTGAAACATTTGGAAAATGTTATCGTTAAAACAGTTACACGAAATGAAATGCTCTCCTGAATGTTAAATCTTTAACAGATAGTTTTAAATGTTAATATCATAACAGGACATTTGTTCATATCATAGGAAGCAGAAATTTTAGAATTAATGTTAACGATGAACGTGTGTGATTTCAGCATTACTTTTATTTCGTTTCTGTAACATGGCACCAAAATGGAACTCAAACATTTCGTAAAGTGTCTTTTTCAGCAAAATAAATCGAAACGGCAACATTTCGTTAGTAGAGCATCTCTGGTTTACATTGATGTTGTAGTCTTCAAAATTCCTCTTCGATTTCATTCCGATATTAAATATGATCCAATATATGAAAGGTCAATTGTACTGTTTCGATTGTGGAATAGCCAAACAATGCAAGAAAGGAACCAGTTTGGAACCACTTGAAAAAGACTGTATACACAATGTTGAATCGTTGCGAAATCAACAAATTTATGAAGCTGACTGTTGATGGAAAGTAGAACACCTCCAGCATCATAAAATAAAATTGATCCTGGGTAAAAGGCAGCGAGCCAGCACAAACGGTCTCCAAGCTAGGATTGACGGTCAGCAAGGTTTTGTTGGTAGGATTGACAAAGAATCATCCACTATGAGCTGCTCAACAACAGTCAAACTCCTAATGCTGCAACTCCCCATCGTACATACTACACAGCCATAACACTCGACTGTAATAGCATATACAAGCACTAGTCATAAGTTAGGTTGCTATGGATGGAAAATATGTAAAATGAGTAGTTGTAGCATTAAAAGGGGCCTGTCCATGATCGTCGGAATGAGGCAATCGCCCAGCTTAGGGCTACAGGAGGAGTGCTTTATTGAGACAATGTCAGACCACACACTTCGCAAATGACTCGCCAGAAGCTCCGAGAGCTTGACTGAGGAGGTTCTTGTGCAACCACCTTATAGTCCGGCCCTCGTACAAAGTGCTTAAAATTTGTTCATGTCTATGGCGCATAATTTGGTTGGTGAAGAATTTACCTCAATAGAAGTCTCGTAAAATATATTGTCCAATTTTTCAGCCAAAAGGAACAAAAGTTTCTATGAGAGAGGCATAGAGACCATACCTTCAGTATAGTTAAAAGTTATAGAGCATATATGTACGTACAATATTTGTATATATATGAAGAGCATATTACAACTATGGTGAATAAAATCTTGATTATTAAAAATAATAATGCGAAAATAATGGATTACATTTCACTATACCTTTAATCTTATGTAATTAGAAATAGAAACAAGTCTCACGGAACATCGTTGTAGTATTCTGTTTGGCCAAAAAGTAGGTGCTGGAGGGCTGTTTTTTTTCACAAATCCAACTATCCGGCGCAGTGGATCTTCAGATTGAATAAACACTAAAAATTTTGGTAGAAAACTCCCCACCAAATCTTTTACTCAGCCTTGCCCCAAATATGCAAAGGTTAGCCGCCTTTGTCATCAGACATTTCTTCCTTAATCACTCTCTAGTGGAATGAGGGTGGTGAGGTGCTTGTTAGGTGCCAACTAGAACCCAATTATTCTAAGCCTTCGTTCATTTTTCACATTGGAGGCTTCAACTAGTTTTGGAATTTACTATAAAAATGAGATCAAACTTTGACTTTGTCAATAAAGTTGAACGTTGTTCCTTAGTGTATACAAGGTCTGAGGGCCCTTCGAGAAATATTACAGCCTCTATCGGGCTTAGGGATCATCGTTTCTTTAACAGACTAGCACGCACGGGGCTCCATAAGAAAATTTGATTGCAGCTCGTTGAAGAATATTGGAAAAGTCTTGGTCAACTAATCACTAATCCTCGCTGATTTATTTTTGGGCTAAAAAATATAAAAACTCACGTGACAAATTCCATCAAAGTCAAATTCACTTAACCACAAAATATTTGATTGAATTATGCAATAATTGTGCTGGTAATTTAATTGATATTATTAACCGAATTACAAGCTTTGGTCATTTATTAATCCAGTTAAATACTTTTAATACCTAAACACAAACATATGTATGAATTTACCATTAAACATTATTAATTTATTTGTACGTGCTGCTTTCTTCAATTCCAGGAATAAATTGCTTTCAAAGATTCTCAGAACAGCCAAAGTACACGGAAGTGAATCCGGGTCAGGACGCTTTATTAACATGCAAAGTAATCGATAAGCGCGGTACATGCTCATGGCAGAAGGATAACAAGGTAATTATTTGTCTTTTGTTTTGTTTCCTACATTGCTGTTTGCAGTGGCTAAAGGCAAGCGAGTTCAAATTCAATGGAAAATCAGATGCAGGGAAATGGCCATACCGAAACCTTTATGCCTTTATGCCTTTCATGAAACAATTCTATTCACTGCCACTGTCCGGGAATGGCGTTGTTCGTGCAAGGTCGTAGCCACATGTCCTTATGACATGCAATATTACTTCTCGGATTCATGATGGAGGTGGAACCCACGCGCCTGTTTCTGGTATTCACCTCGGTAGATGAACACTTCGCCTTAGTACGATTCAAAGTGAAGTCCATAAACATAAACCTGATTTGAGCGCATGGCCTGCCAAAGAGGAGGTCTATGCAGCTAAAGAAAATACTATGATAAAATTGTGCTAGTCGTCGCCAACGCCACGCTGGGCAAATACATGTCTCCAGTACTCTAGATGTGAGTACGTACCGAAGACCAAACATCAACCCGAACCATTATCTTGTCGTAACACAATAATTACCCGCCTATGTGAAGCACAGAAAGTTTGATGCCGATTTCTACTCAATTTGCTCTTTTGCTCTCTGAGAGTACAGCAACGCAACGCGTTATGAGTCTGCTCTGGGGCGGCATTTCACACTCTCTACTTACAGCAGCAAGTGAAACTGTTGGTTACCGATAATGTCAAAAGAATAGCTGGCGCGAAGAGGTTAGTTAAAAGAAAAAAGACCGACTAATTTGCAACGGTTCGATCATTCATGAGATATTCAAGATAGTAAAGATATCGGGAGCTGAAGAAGGAAGCGGAAGAAGACGTATTTATAGACAACGAAGAAATTGTGCCGAAAAACAAGACCGTGAGAAGCTGTCTGACAGGCATAATGGTCTGAAATTTTACGAAAATTTCCCGCGACTTACAAAAGCTTTGAAAGCCGAAGCCTACTCATATAGGAACTCAAGAGGTAACCGGGCTACCGAAGCCAGAGTAAGTGTATACTGAATTTATTGACGAAACACTTCTGCAGCGAGATGAATGATAGTGAAAATGAAATGCCTCATTCCATACGAGTAACAGTTTCCCGTCTGAACAATAAGACAGTGGTGAAGCTGATGACTTAACTACTGAGCTACTCAAATATAGCGGCAAGAAACTGACAAGATACACGCATAAACGTGCTATGCCAAATCCACTAAAGGAACCAGCTCACAATCTGTTCCAATTATCTTGGAATAAACCTCCTCATTATTTCTTCTAAGGTCTTATCTAGCATAATGTGGTAAAGGTTAGAGCCCATAAGCAACAAAAGGCAATTTACTAGATATGTACCAGTCGTTTTTCGACTTGAAATCCACCTCTGATAACGCGCAAAGAAGCTGCCTCTACGATTATATTTATGAATTTATTATACTCTATAGATACATATGAGACTTTGCCCTGAATGGCTGAACGGATGAACCCACAGCTTAAACCAGTGATCGTAGTGATCTGAAACTTAGACAGTGTGTTTTGCGTATGACGTAGGTATCCGATATGAAAGGATTTTCTGGGCTGTGGATCTGAGTCCAATCTATTCGAAAAATCGTTCGATTTTCCTGAAACTTGATACATACCAGGTCGTTCTTTGTCAAAATTTATATGGGAAATACTTTTTCTTCCCGGACTTGGGAGTTGGAGAAATGACGAAATGAGAAAAAAACAAACAAACAAAACAAAAATACAATTATCAGCCTGGCCAGGCTGAAGTGGAGAAGAACATGGCCTTACTTAATTCCTCATAAACATCTAAAAAAATATCGAATTTAAAGTCTTTGTATATTTGTCCTCGACATCGGTAAAAACTATATGGAGCCTAAAATACTCGTATATACATACTAACGACATTGTATCTTCATGAAAGGTATAAAAGATGAGAATTTCACAAACAACAACATTAACTTTCGCCTCGATAATTTACCTACTGGACAGTTAGCTAATAATCGTGTAGATATATATATGTACTACATATGACTAAACTTAACAGCTTTGTGCGCATAAATATGTTTGTACATATATGGTTTGTGTTAAGCCTGGGTGATTATAATTGTACATATTTGCACATACGAGTATATGAATATGCACAACATACATATGTATACATATGTATACATCTATATATATATGTGTGTGTTTAAGTACTTATTTATGTCATGCACTTTTACCCAGTTTTGTTGTCTTTTTCTTGGAAGCCATTTGTAAACAATGATGTACTCACATATATATATATATATACATATATATGTATGCATTGTTGTAAAATGGTAGCGAGTCCGCGAAAGGATACACTCGAGTATGTTGAAGGTGTCCGCAACCGCAACGATATTAAAATGATAATTTTCTGGACACCAAAGCAGCAAAAGGTTGAATACAAAACGCGACAAAAAACCAATTCTATGTATGCAAATAATAATTGTATGTGTATACATTGTTGAGGAAAACTTAATTTCATAATGTGACTTATGTGTATAATAAATATTTATTTACGATGGGGTTAACAAAAGTTCGGTAAATTAATTGGAAAAAAAATTAAAAATAAAACTTTTCGTATTTATTCGTAACCTTTGTCATTTTTTATCTTCTCTACATAATCGTCTTGTATTTCTTAAACCTATAGATCCACTTCTGAAAACAGTCTACGAAATCTAGCTTTTGAAGCTCAGCAGGATCAGCTTAAAACGCATTAATTGTCTTCTCGTTGCGATTCAAGACTTTTTATTTTGTTCTTCAGTATAGGAAATTACCAAAAATCGCAAGGTGAAATATGGTGTTGCATGTATTTATTCGATCCCAGAGATCACAGTGAAATTACTCGTTATTTCAGCAGCGTGGAATGGCGCGTTGTCATGACTTTGAAAAGTAGCGTCGCAACTCTTCTTTCTTTCTACTTTCCCACAAACTTCTGAAAACTTTTGGCAAGCACTTTTCGCTGTACCATTTTGCAATTACCATATGGCCTGCTTCTGGTGGAATTTATATTGGGCAAAGTCAACTGACATCATTACTTTTGCTTTTCATTTTGTTGCTTTGATTTTACGGGTGGGCTTGCTCCTGTTGGGCTTCATACCATAGACTGCTGAAAGGTTTCTTGATCGTCCTTATACAACCAAGATTCGTCACCATTAACGACTTTGCTAAATTTACTAGACAGAACATTTTCGAATTTGTTTAGGAAAAATTGAGCAAAATGCACTCTGGCTTTTAGCAGATTTCTTCATGTATCCCAGATGATGATTTAATATTTGAAATACAGCCATGGCATTCAAGCCCAGTTTACTAGCAATCATTTCTTGTGTCAATCGTGGAGTCTTCCTCAATTTTGGACTTCACCAGAGCTACAGTGAAGTCAACTGTACGGAAGACTGTCTGGTCTAGCATCTACGGAACTACTTAGAAATAGTCTTTAAAGACGGATCAATCTTTCCATATGCACCCGAATGGTGCCTTTGGCCTACTTCGCGGTATTTATACCGCAATTTTCGTGAAATATTTTGAGTGAGCCACACATGCAAATAAGTAGTTACATCAATAATATAATAAATTAATTATTATTTCCCTTCAGATGACGCTTAATTAGGGTTTTTATTGTTCCTTGCAGTAACGAGAACGAAAAAAAATTGGACAAAATAAAGAAAGCCTCGGCAACATGTGGCCGGGTCTGCCGGGTGCATATGTACATATAAGCCAATCGAATGAAACCTCTTGTGTTTTACTATAAATTTTTTTAATACGGCCTATTTGAGGTTTGACCTCATCAATGACCTTAAAGACGTGTCTAATATTCAGTTCAAAGCTTGCGATTTGCAGAACTCTTAAATTCCCGCTCGAAAGCAATTGCAAAATAATAAAAAATTACTAATAAAATGGACATACCTGTATACGAGTATGTACAAATAAATATTGATACCTAAAATCAATTAAATTGGAATACGATGTCATAGATCCCACACTAAAATCATTATAGCAGAAACTGTTGTAAAAATGAAAATGCAGAAAAAATGCAGAAATGACAAAGGGACAAATAAATTCATATTTATGTACTTGTGTCTGACTTTAAAAATATTTACTCATGTGTATGTGCTCATGATGATCTAACAATGATTTTAAAATTATTTTGAAATACTACTGAGGAGTAGCCTTACTGCTGTAGAACTTTAAAATGAAGAGCTTCCATCACCATCGACTCATGCTTTTTCCACTTAAGGCTGCTGATATTATATTATACATATATGTTTTTGCATTTCATTATTCATTTCGACATGATATTTGACTTTTTGTGAGCAAACAAATGAAAATCAGCATACATTTTCTCTATACAAATTTATAGATATACGATTGTGTATATTTACTTTATGAGGAAATATTTACGCCTAAATATATGCAACACTTTCATTTGTGTATTTTTTCAATAAATATTATTTTTGTATTTATAGAAGTCATTTAAACCATGAAACGCAATATTATTTAATGGACATGACATATTCGTACATGTAAATATGTGCGAAAAATAGTAGTTTCCAACTAGAAACCAACAGTTTGCATTTTTGCACTAACTATTGAGTTCAACATCCATCTGTTTCCCAAATAGACAATTTTCATTTTAAACACGGCGATGTCCACTGAACTAACCGAATGTGCATCAGCTTTATGTTAGTCCTATACCAGTTTATTTGGCATATTGAATTCTTTTCAAGCAAAAAAAATAAATTTAAGCTTCCTCGCAGTGAGATTCACGCCCTTAATCTATGCGTCTGCAAAGTATGAACAGAACGCAATTGAGAAGGGAACCTATCCGCGTTGTGCTATATGTAGTATAACAACAACACGCGCTGGTGGAAATTATTATTACTCCCGTTACTAATGAGCTGCCACACCAATAACCAACTGGTATGAATTCACCTACAAAATACTAGTATTCAACTAGAATTTTTTCTTATCAGTCTAGCAACTCCCTGCAGGGAACTTACACAA